CAAAAGACAGTTGTATAACACCGCACAATCTGGGCTCTGTTTACAAGGCTGCAGGCATGGCTGAAATATTCAGACGTCAATGAAGGTCACCTGTCAACTTAGAGTAGTGCCTAAAGATTACTCCGAGCGGTTATAAATGACTGTTAAATGGAAAGATGAATTGTTGAAGGATTTTGAAAATGGAAAAAATGATAGTCATGCCGGCCCAGCATCATCAACATTGAAAAATGCCCGGCACGAAGTGGTTAAACTTAAACTTATGAAAAAATGAGGCCATTAAATCCCATACCCCCTGTAAATTACTAAATCCCCTCTCCCTTCATCCATTCCGATAAAGAAAGATTAAAATTACAAAACAATTCCCAAAACTGTAACCCTGCTCTGTAAAACTAAATATGCATGTACATATAAATAAATAAAATGAATTAAAAGGTGCTAAATTAAGCCTCAAGTCTCTTCTGTAGACCCCTGGACAGAAAAATAAATTCACCCTGGCCCTCACCATAATTAATCCAAAGGTTAGGAATCTGCAAAGATCTGATCACCCAAACACTGAATTATTCATTGCAAACGATTTTGGGTAAGAGAACTGGATGCGCCCGCAAATGAACTTATAAATATGTATGCGCTGCTAGATGTACATGTACGTGTAACTGTCCAGTCACAGAGTATAGACATCAGTGCATCACATTCAGACAAATTTCTCATGGGGCTCTTGATGTAAGATCGGATGCGTTGACGATTGTGCACTCATGGTTGTCCATAATTATTTGAAATTTCCAACACTGGCATGTGCCAAAAATAAAACAGGGGTCATGCATTGAACACCACAAAACGAACGGACAATAAAAAATCTCTTCTTGCTACAATTTGTGCAGGAAAGATTACTTACCAGTCAATCATCAGGCTTGGCATTCTCACCATTGTTACATTGATTTTGTCCTCGGTCACAAATTACAATTGACCATCGTTGTGTTTTTATTTCAGTTGTCTTACATGCACACTTAATTTTAAAAAGGCATCTATTATGGTTTATTATTAAACTTCACACTATGTTTGATGAATCATACCGGTACTGTAGAGTAGTCTTGACATTTTCTGAACTTCATGCATGTTCCCGTACCTGTACCTGTA